TATATATATTTAATTTGTAATTATTTTTTTATTGTTTATTCTTAAACCCTCCTAATTATTTTTAACCGTTATTTTAAGAAATATATATTGAAACTAAGTTGTAAAACTTAATTAAATATTTGAAAATAAATAAATAGTTATCTTTATGAATTAAATTTTAACAAATAAACACAAGAATCTAACCCAACCTAAAAATTTGATGGTTGTGTTCATGCATTTGGGGGATACCCCTATCCCATCACAAGGGTAAGGATGCGTACATCCAATGGCAGGACAATGATCGTTATGGGATAAGGGTATCCCCCTAGATGCATGAACACACATAATGCATGAGGTCCCTCCTACTTCTACGTTTATCATTAATGATCATAACCCCCTGTCACGTTCCATACTTCATGTCATTCTCATTTTCAATTCACATTTCATACATATTCCTATCGGGGTTATGATTCCAGACAATTCATGCTGTTTACATTCACATATTCCATACAATCATGCCATAATCATTCACGAACCACATATCGTCACATGCATAACATATCACATCAAACTAAGCAGCATACATGGCATACATTCACGTTCAATTAGAGAGCGACGCGTGTGCAGGGGTCTCGGGTCGAGGTGCGAGTTATCGGATCGCTCGCGGGTCTCGGGCCGTATGCGTGTGACGGGCCATTCGCGGGTGACGGGCCATGCGCGGGTTAGGCACTTTTAGAACATCAATTATAGAAATAACTAGAATGTTCATAAGTATTAAAAATTAATGAGTTTGAATACTAACCTTTTGTAGTTCAAATTCCTTTTTCCTCACGAACCGGTTTCGAACCACCACTAGTGTCTTCTCCACTATCCTTCGGTCTTAGAACGGGATTGTGGAATCTGGAGAGTGACTAAACTTGGGAGGGATTTTGTATATATGAAGAGAGTGTTTGTGAGAGGTTTTTCTCAAGGTTTTTCACCAACAAGAAGAAGTTTCATGTATTATGATCACTCTATTTATAGAGTCATGTTTGCATGTTCATGCAAATTTGAGATCACCAAATTTTGACCCTCAAAATTCCACTCAAATGTTTGGGATTATGTGGCAAGCATGCATGCTTGAGTTAACCAAATTTTGACACTTAAAATTTCACTCAAATTTGTGGGGTTTATTTGGCAAGCATGCAAGTTTGGTTAAACCAAATTTTGACACCTCAAAATTCCACTAACATGGATTTTTCAATTAAATGAAGTCAACATTTTGACTTTCTTCATTTTGATTCAACAATCAATTTGAATTATTAATTACAAATTAAAGTAATATTAAATGATTAATTAAACTATTTAATTAATATTTAATATTAATTCAAATGTCAATCCCAATTAATTCCGACACATATTTGATTAAGATATTTAAATCTTATTTAAATATCTCTGATTCTCTCTTTTTGTTTAATTCGTAAATAAAATAAAAATGTGGTTAAATATGTCATATATATGTAGCGCAATCTCCCTAATTTGAATTCGAACACTTCGAACTCACTCGTCACACTGTTCTATGGTTTAGTCCGATATGAGCTAGCAGAGGGACCTAATGGACCTATAGATCATGGGCTCCAATGATCCAAGATTAACCGGTTAAACTCATTAACCTTGTTAACCAACATTCGTTAACTACTAAGACATTCCACTATAGCCTAGTAGTTGCACTCCCCTCACTATAGATATATTTCTGTCCATTTGATATAACCATGATTAGTAAGTCGATCCTTCACATGTTGTTCGTAACTAGAGCTGGGCTAATTTACCGTTTTACCCCTGAAGTTACTTCTTGTTTCTTATGTCTCACTGATCCTCTAATGAACAACTGGTTTGTGGTCCAACCAGTAAACCGGATCCCTCTCGGGCCAATGAGAGGGTGGGGCCCCTTGTTCAAGACCTGGAGTCAGTACTTAAGGGAACTACCTCTCTTCTATCCCTAAAAGTGGGTAGGAGTGAATTCCATCTTGCACCCCACGTCCCAAGTCATTTACCCAGTCTTACCCCTGAAATGGGAGGCCTATTGAGTCGGCGAACTTGAGCCACTCTCACCCATGCAAATCTAAGGATAATTTCGAATAAACAGGAGTTCATGGTTAGCTCAGGATTAAGATCGAGTTACCTAGGTCAACGAATGAAAAGAAAATCAGTCTCAACAGTAAACGACGTTATAAAGTGAGAGTGATTTTTCTCATGGTCTTATCTTATGCAATACTCATTGCATAGGACGCCCCCACTCACATGTCTCCACATGTACAATTTATGTGATCACATTGTTTATATCATACACAAAAGTGAGCCGCAT